TCTTCGGCTTCTACTACCTAAAATAAAGAAATATTGAATGTATCGTGTATGAGACGAGGCTTTTAAGAGTTACCCCGTCAATAAAAACATTTCCATCAATTCGACATTCTTTATTTTTAAAACAAAGGCTTTGAACGAAATCATTAAAATTAATTCCATTTATGTTGTGTACGGTTACGTTATCCTTTATGTGAAGGTTGTCTACAACCAGTTTTTCTTCTACTATTTCGGTTTTATTTGCATTTTCCGTCAAATGTATTTCCTTCCCATTTAAAGTATTAATAAATAATTGACCAACATGTAAATCCTTAAATTTTATAGTTCCTGTAAGAATATTTGATAAAATCACATTGAACATTGGTTTCCGTATAAAAATAAATATGTACCGTTTTTTGTTGAGTTTATCGTAACAATTTCATTTTCCAAAACAATATCGTTTAGTTTGCGAGTAATAACATGCATATTGTTCCGGACACCAACTAAATTTTTGAAAAGAATATCACCCCTCACAACAAGAGGGTTACCATCGTTAAAAACTATATTTTTAGCTTCGACTTTGTTTAAAAAATTAAAAGTGATATTTTCCACCTGGACATTTGTGAATGTTTTTGGTCCCGTGATTGGACCTATATTTTCTATGCTGTAAAAATATCAATTATTGCAAATATTCGTTTATGTACATAAATAATAATTTATTTACTTTACTATATCGTTAAAAGCAGCATGCGCAGGTTCATTATTTATTTTGTTTACAAACACAGTTGTGGCATTTGTTTGGCCATGTACTTCCATTGGTCCATCAATTATAAGCTCAGGAATGTGAATTTCTTTCTGATCTTTTCTAACAACATCTTTCAGTTTGTCGCGAATCTCGTTGATCATTTCGGATGCTATTGTCAGCTGTTTAGTGATACCTTCTAGTGTTAAATCTTCTGGTTCTTCAGTTGAATTTGTTGATCCACTTTCATGATTGTTTGAAGCATCAGTTGTTTCGAAGTCATCCGTATCAGCTCGAGATTTAGCTTTCGTTAGAGACTGTACGCCATCTTGTTCCAGATTTTGATGAGAACTTGAGATTATTTTCTAAAAATATCGCGACTTTCACAACATATACATCATTTATAAAGTGAATGTCATTGCATGATTTTTATTTAAAAAAAATATTCAGTAAACGTAATCGTACTTCCAGTTTTTCCCTTAAAGCTTTCAAAGTTTGTACTTCAATATCAACCGGGCTTGGCAGTGCTTTTAGTTCCATGTCTATTTCGAAAAATTCCGAAGGGCCTGAACTTTTAGGAATCAAAATTCCAATTTTGTTTCCAACTGATAATACTGCAGCTCCAGAAATGCCTCTCTCTCCTTTTTCGTCCAGGCAACTAAGTCCTCTGAGTTCTTCTCCAAAATACAAACATGTCATTTCATCATGAAATAGAAAATGCCGTCCATTAAATACCAGCGCTTCAAAGGCTAAAGTATCATGCGTTTCTGAATGGTAAATATGTCTGAAATAAGTACATGTTGCAATTCTTGGTCTTTTTTTAATTCAATTTGAGTTGGTCGCATAAATATAGAAGCTGTGTGGATATAAAAATAATTAAAATTGATAATCAACAGAACAGAAAAACAGTATTTCATTAAATTAATTGTCTTGTTCTTCTCAAAATGAATGTTCAACACTGATGCAACCTTAAATATGAGGACTATTTTGCCTCTGTTGAGCTAGAATAAGGAAGCACATGTAGGTAACAAAATAGTTTTGTTACTAAATCATTTACGTATTTATTTTTATATGGAATCGCTAATATTCGAAATGTGGTGTTATATGCGAACAATGAGGATACCGTGGATAGAGAAGGTTAGAAATGAAGAGGTATTAGAAAGAATAGGAAAACAGAGGATTCTATGGAAGTCAATAAGAAATAGGGGAGATAGGTTGGTAGGACACCTTCTCAGGTTTGAAGGTCGAGTCAGAGACATATTAGAGGCAGAAACAAGAGTTAGGAGGGGTAGAGAGAGATCTAGGTTAGATTACTGTTCGCAAATATTTAAGGATGTGGGTTGTTCTAGTTTTAGGGAAATGCGAAAGATTAGCTCAGGATAGGATAGAGTGGTAGTGCGAGTCCAACCAGTCTTAGGACTGATGAGCTTATGAAGATGGAATCGCTAATACGGCTGAAACATTTGTCATATCATTGCACCAGATTTTCTTTGCTTTCTTCATAAAAGTTAGGTACATCTTGACAGCGTTCTAAAATTCTTTGTTGGTGGTAAACTGTTGGTCAGCTAACCATGTTGAAAGAAGTGAAAGTTGGTAGGTGCGAGGTCTAGACAGTGTGGTGGGTTATTATGGTTTTCATCCGTGTCAATACAGTTGTTCAGCTAACCATACCTTGTTGAAGAAAGTAAAAATTGCTAGGTGTGAGGTCTAGACAATATGGATGATGATTATGGTTTTTATCCGTGTCAATACACGAATGCACTGTGGTAATCATGACGGCAGGCTTTTTCAGACAATTCAATTGGAACAATTTTTGATCATCCGCCATATGGTCCGAATTTCGCACTTAGAACTTCCTGATTTTTCGACAATTAAAAAAGTGGTTGTTTGGACAATGCTATTACCAACAATGAACTTCAAACCACTGTCACCCATTACCGGAAAACTTCTGTGTAGAGGACATCGAAAAGCTGCCGTCATGATATGACAAATGTGCCAATCAATTACCCATAAAAATAAATAAGTTCTAGTATTAAAATTATTTTGTTATGTGCAACTAGGATTGTTGTCCTCCTTCGGCGAGAACACCTATTCTATAGAGCTGTAGATACTAAAAGAACATCTATTAAAGTTTGATTTTTAATGTTACCTTTGCGTTATTATAAAAACTTCGTCTCTGTAGGTCTTCACTGGAACAGGAAACCACATCTCGATTTGTTCTTCATTAAATCCTGGAATAGATTCTTTCACAAGGCCGTTTCTAGTAAATCTAAAAATGGCAGAATCAGTTCCTCCAATTGCCATAAAGGCGTTTGAACCAATTCTAAAGCTAGTCAAAGACGAAATATTCTGCCGTGTTATGTTTTGATAAGGAACAAAATGTCCTTCAAAATATTTAAATACAAGCACCATGTCCAGCTCTGCTTGGGTTAAAGACAAAAATATATTTCCATTATACGTTTTAAAAACGATCATCCTTGTAGGATATTCAAGCTCAATACGTTGACTTAACCTACATGAAATTAAAATTAAAATGATTTAAAAGCAATTAAAAGAAATTTCTATAATTTTACCAAAAATCTGATTTTGTGGAACTTAATGAGAAATCAAATACATTCAGGAATGTACTGTTATCATCATGTTGGGATATTGTAAATAATTTAGTGGTACCGTGAATTTCTTTTTGGCTTAAATAGAGTACCTTCTCATGCAATTTCCATGTCCACAGGTGCGTCTATGTCAAAATTAAATTAAAATGATTAAACTGTGTCATGTCTAATTGCAGGCATTACTGTACAAACATTACAAGTAATATCATGAACCATAGTGTTAATTAAATTGGCTATACAGTTTGTGAATTACTAACTACGTACGTTAGTTTCTTTTCCAATTTGGAACCACTTAAGTTGAGTAATAAAGTTTGATTCAGTTGCAGTAACAAGAATGAGTTCGTACTGTCCTAGATTTGTATTCCATTTTCCCATTACAATTGCATCGCAAATTGTATCATTATATTCTGAAATTGGCACGTAAAACTATGTTTTTTCTTAATAGATTCAATCAAATCAAAAATAAATTATCAAACGTAATTACTAGAAGTTAGTTTGGTTTTAAGCATTTAGATATACCTCCCACTATCTACGGAGTAAAGTGTGTGTGAACTATACTCTGAGACATCTAAAGTGGCGGTTCATGCTATAAAACCGCCTTTGCTTATGCCTAAGTGCAATTACAACTTTGTGGTAGCAAACTAAACACAAACGTTTTATGTTCTGTTATGCACCTTTGCCTACAAAATTCAAATTAGTTTGGAAACTTTCAGGAGGGTGTATTCAAACTAATTCGACTACTCTGTTTTATCAAAGTATGGGAGATACGTAGGAAGTACAACATTTTTGTTGAATCCCAGCTGTAAGGATAAATTTAATAGGGATTATTATCCTTTAGCATTGTCAGTTGTCACTAAATTAAATTAACCATGTTAGCCATTCGACAAAATAAGCTTACAAATATTCTGCAAGTTTTATTACATCAGTCGCCACTTTAGATAGCTCAAAGGTTAGGTGTACTTATTCGTACCTATAATGTTTGAAGAAAGGTTAAATCCGTTATCTTGATTTAATTTTGTAGTAATTAAAATAACTTGAGATGTTGTGTACCCAACCGCGTAACTTTTGTCATTTAATGATATACTTCTCCACTTTGTCACATTATTTCCATAATTAAAATGACTGTTTAATTTTAAATCTGTTATTACCAATTCTACAAGCAATTTTTCGTATACAGTTGTCAGAAACAAGCGTTTTTGTGATCTACCTTCTCTATTTCCTACTCCCGTTCCAAATTGATAAGAATGCCAAAGTTTGTTTGATGCAGCTCCACAATTTAAATAAAGCACAATGATAACCAAATGTACCACCATACCGCCCATCTTTTGCGTCTCAAAGATACTAAACGTTCTCATTGTCCTGATGTCTTGGTATCGTTTTACCGTTTTTTTTCGTTTATTATCTTTACTTTAAAAACCAGTTTTTAATTGTTGTAATTAGGTAAAGAGTAAAATAAATTATTATCATAAATTTATTGCTTAACAGTATTATTTACATGGCATCACAAAATCCATTAAATTAATAATAATCACTAATTACCTATACATCAAGTAAACTTAAATATTGTACTAAATCCATTTGGACGTTTAAGAAAATTACTGAAAATAATAGTGATGTAGGTTCAATTCGATCCCATAGGAATACTTTTTGTATCATACGACCCATTTGAACATGTTCGAATTGCAAGAATTTATTTCGTTAATTAGTAAATAATTCTGGTTTAAATGCTAGAATGGGAAATGGCTATAGAAATAATTAAAATAATTTAGACATTGTTTTAGTACCGTAAAATGATGTACAGTATCAATGGATGTAGATAAACTGATACTTTCAAGTTGTTCGAAATAGTTGAAGAAATATATTTGTTTTTTGGCGGCCGCCAATACATAGTTAACATCTTTACATATGTTTCTAGTTGCATCCACCTAAAGCAAGTAATAAATGGAATGTAAATAATTGTAAAAAACATAGTGATTTCCTTAACACAAAAAATCTCATTTCTTTTATATCGTCTCGTCGGTATGTATACATAAAACTGTTTTGTAAGGTATGCATAATTTATTCACTTGCAACATTGCAAGCATTTAAAAAATGCCTACGTTTTTCTCTAATTCTTTATTCTCTAATATAAACTAAAAAATAAAAAATTAGTTTAATTATTGTTAATTAAGTGAGAACTTAGTTATTAGTTTAGGCTTCTGACTATAGCTAGTAAGCGCGTGGGTTGTTGCGCAGGTCGTGTTCGGGCACATTCGGCTAAAGAACCGTCCGCTACTGCATAGCAGTCGTTGCTGAGCGGTTGGTAAGTCAGCATTCCGTGTCGATGTAAGATGGAGAAATATGGTGTGATATATTGTAAGTTCTACTCTTAATAATAAAATTTTGTTTACAGAAATTACACAATTTACCTTAAATGTGGATCTTGTTCTATTACTGATTGTTAAACCACTTTATTGTACCTACATCAGACAATGTTTTACGTTTTGGCCTTATTATACTTTCAGGATTTTATTGTATATTAATTATAGGTTTGTTGTAAGAGATAAACTACTTGCAGATCATTACAATTTAAACTCACAATTTCTAGATGTTTTTCGGAAAAATCTTTCTTCATTTGTCGTAATTCGTTGGCCATTTTTACGATATCAAGTCCGCTTAAGAGACCAGTACTGTCCACATCCGATTTAAAATTAATTTCTCCTTTAACAACCCACTCATCGTAAATACTTTGGCTGCCATTTCGGTATTTCTTCAAACTTCGTTCATTCCATTCATCAAAATCGATATCATTTATCCGTCCGGACGTTACAAATTTTTTTAAAACATCAACATCGTTATCGAATATGTAGCCACCGGTTAAATTTTGTTCGGTAGCAATGGTAATAACTCTATTTAGATTTTGGCCATTAACAGGCTTACGAATTTCCAAATTGCCCAGGATGGATACTGCCCCGTGGAAAGTAATAGGAGATATAACTTCTTGATTTCCAGATACCTGTATCGGATACTTTTGCAATTATTGTGCAGAATTATTTTGAAAATAATTTCAGTGTTTACACATTCATACCAATAAAGAATGTCTAAATTCTTCTTGCAGAATTCGACCATTGACAGTCCCATTTACTTGAACATCGTTGAAGAAGATTGCCTGTCCCACTTCGAGATCGCTGTAGAGATCTTCGTCGGTTTTGGTAAGTACTACTTTTTTCATATTGATATCGTTTAGGTATTTCACTGTGAGGTCACCCCGTACAAAGACGTCATCAAATGTAATATGATCTAAATAGATATATCAATATAGTACCATCATATTCTAAGAAATCTTTACATTAAGGTAAAATAATCAGCAAACTTATCGCAATATGGGTATACAATGATTTAGGAGATGGTTTAATAAAATTTGGCATTTAATATGTAAATAAAGTGCATCAGAGAGTTATTCAAAAGAATTGCTTTAGTTTATGTGCATATTCGTAGATGCACAATAAAAATGTTGAAGTCCCTCACTTGCAATAAATGTAATATTAAATTGGATGTTTTAAATCTAAAATGATATATTATTACATAAGGACTTGAATGCGTCTATCACTTTGTACCAAGGATCTCGCAAATGTTTTATATAAATTAATTATACTTGTAAATAATGGTTTTCTTATTATGTTATACAACTTTTTAATTAATGCAGTTCAATATTAATATTGGGTCTTAGCACTATGCTACCGCCTATCGCAGTGGATACTACCCCTAGCGCCTTATTACTATAGTATTCCTACCGCAATTACTCGACAGGGTGACTGTAGTAATTACTGTTAAGGGACCCCGCTAGATCCCTACAGAAAAAGACCCTCTATGCAACTCTTTGAAACTTTGGATTGTGATTGTTCTCGGCGTGCATATCGAAAGTCTCAAACCACCGTATGTATCCTAGGTATCTTAGAAACCCTTGCGGAAGAGACCAAATATCAAAAAGATGAGGTTTTACGACTATTGAGACTTTCGATCTACACGTCGTAAACTACCAGAATCCAAAGTTTCAGAAAGGATCACTTTTCGTAAAGATCTAACGGTATCCTTTGGAATGGTGTTGATAAAAAAGAAACTAAAGTAAATAATCTGTCAATCTATTGACGAATTTTTAGAAAAAAAAAGACCATACGATTCCCGTGTGAATAAATCGAAGCAATAGGTATTACCTACTAGTAATTAATAGTTAATTGGTTACCTGATATATATCCTCTGTTAATGTACACAGCTTCTTTTTGCCACCTTTGTAAATCAATATCATATACATATCTGCTTAATAAATTCTGATTTGAAAAAAGTGATTCTGTAATATCTACGGTTTCCTTAAAAATAACTAATCCGTTTATTTCGCTGTAGACATTTTTGAAAACTATACTGTCCAAGAAGTCGTTCAGATTAATACCATTTATAAAATTCGAAATTGTTAAGTTTCCTTTGATGTGGACCTTAAATTTAAAATACGTTTTTAAGGTTTTATGTTAGGTACTGTTAATAAGAAGATACGTACCGTATCTTTGAATGTGACATTGTTGAAATAATTAGAATTTTCAAAAGTTCCACCTTCTTCATTAGTAATATGTTCAAAATTAAGCTGATTAATCGGACCATCCAAGTACAGATGATCTATATGTGTTTCATGTTCAAAGGATACGTTATCTACGAATTAAACAATATTAAAATTGCTCTTTTTGGAATGTCAGTACTACATTACAGCAGACCTGAACTGTTAGGTCTGTCATGAAAAAGAAATGACCTATAAATACATTCTCTTGTATGATACTTTAAACACAAATCCAGGCTTAGGACTAGCTGACTTGTTGAAATAACAGTGGCAGTCATTTTAATTTATACATAAATACAATAGGATGCATCAAATAAACATAAAATATTAATGTTACGTAAAGTCATTGTACATAGATTGTAGTCATTAATTACATAATTGCGACGCTACGAGCATACAAAAGTCGCGCGACGCCTAGAGCACGGCGCTAGGAACACGGACTTACGATAGGAACTGAAATTAATTAGTGGGTAGTAATACAATGACTACTGGTCTTACTAAAGGCATAAAATCCGTTAAATAATGTTCCAATACATTCATGCAAAAAAGTTTTGTAGGGCATTGTGTTACTTATTTTTATAATATTACTAGCTTTTCCCCGCGGCTTCGCTCTCAGAAGTTAATATTGTTTCTCCATAAAACATTTTAACTCCCAATTCACCCTTACAACGTTCTAATTTTATGTAATGTCGTCATCTTAGATTTCAAATACAAACGTAGCAACAACATTTCATCCTTAAGGGTTGATTTTTAAAAATTGCCATAACACGTATTTGCTTAATTTCAGCAATGAGCAACCTTCGAGTAAATCCGAGTGCAAATAAAATATACCCCATAGAAACGTTGCAACCTCTTTTCATTTGATTAATAATATCAAACAGCATATATACCAAGTTTCAAGTAAATTCAACCACAAATCAAGTATGTCCCAAAAACAAATTGCAACACCTTTTTACCCCTCCTCTCTTTGGAGGTTGAATTTTTTAAAATGACGAGATAGGTCTTTCAGAAATTAAATTAGAGACCATTAAGACCAAGTTTCAAGTAAATTTGACGACACATAATATATGTTCCATTTAAACATTGCACTCTTCACCACTCCTCCTCCCCACGGAAATGGGATGAAAAGTATCCTGTGTATGTCTCCTGGTTGTAAGCTACCTCCCCACCAATTTTCAGCCAAATCGGTTCAGCCGTTCTTTAGTTATATAAATAGTGTAACTAGCACGACTTTCTTTTATATATATAGATAGAATGATACAAAATCGGGAACTGTTATATTTATAATCTGACCTTCCTTTAACAAGAATAGATAGCTTTAAAACTTTCATTTCTCGAAACATGTTTGGCTGTGTTGAAATAAAAACAAGATTTATTTAGGATTTATTTGTTTTTTCTATTGATAAAATTTTAGATACTTGTAAAACGGTTTCTAAAACTATTTTTTGGGTAACTTGTTTAGAGTTGTAATTATTCAAAGGTGAAAATTTGAAGTAATTTATACTGCGTCGGCAAGGTAGATAACGTCATAAAAAGCTCTTACTTGCTCATGATTATTTTCAATGATTTATTTACCTCGTATAATGAAAACCCCATCTTGCGTTCTAAACGCTGTTTTTAGATATTCCAGAGAAACGTTGTTCAGTGTGTCTTTTATCTGACAATCGGTCGTTATAAGAACATTTCCGTAAATATGTAGTGGACTTGCCACACTTTGCGGATCGTTCTTTGTGAGAATATCGTCAATAGGTATTCCGTTAATATGATGTGTATACATTTTTTCTATAACTCGAAAACCATTCAAATAATTTTTATATCCAGTGATTGTTACAATTTTTTCATCTTTATAAATAATATTACGGGCAAATAAATCAAAGGGAACGTTATTAAAATATTTAGTTGTTAGTCTCTTCATTGCAACGTCGCCCTAAAAAACAAAAGCGTTAAATCAATCGAAATTAGTAAATTAATACGCTTAATAGCAATTCGAATGTGGTGATTGCCTAGGGCGTAGTATAAAATCAAATTAGTCTCCACATTATATTTTCATTAAAGAAAAGTGCGGAACGATTAACAATTTTTTACGTAAAATAATTATCAAATGTGCATATTAAAAGTTATACAGTTCAGATTAACTTACCAGAATAAGCAGATTCTTTCCAAAACTAACGTTAAGAAACGAGAAATCATTATTAATCATAAATATATTCAAATTAACATCATTAATGGATCCAACTTTTAAATTATCCACTTCCATTTCTACAAAAAACAAGAAAATTCATTTTAACCTTTCTTTAGTCAGGGTGCTGCAACTAAAAGATCAATTATTATATGCATATATGCATAAGTGTAGTAAATAAAGAAGTCGCATTATCATAAATTTTTGAAAATGTACCGGTGAAAATTGTTTCGTCAAAATTTTCTTCTTTGAGACAGAAAATTAACATTAAACGACGAGTTGTTCTATATGCTGTGAGTGCATATTTAATAAATATTTAAATTAGACATTTTGAAATTAATTTTGTCCATTATTAAAAATGTGAAACTGATATATTAGCTGACCTTCAACATGTAATCTTCCGTTGATTAACTGTGTTGTAATGAAGTTGATATAATGATTTGGATCAAATAGTTTATTATAGGGAATACCATTAATTAAATCGGCTTCTATACGGGCAATATCGCTTGCGTTGACAGTAAAAGGAAAATCTATTTCCTGATCTTTGGTAACGCTTAATCTGTTTTTATTCAAGTTTTCTAAATCTAAATTTAGCTTTCTACTTTCAAACGATCCCTGAACTTCAAGAACATTTACTCTAACGTCACTCGATTCATCGAATAATTGTATGATATCGTTATTTCTCATTAATATTGTTTCAATAGGTACTCCATTTAAGAAATCTAAAACTTCGATTTTTTTGCTTGCAATATCAATAGCATTTGGATCTTCGTTTTTAAAAATTAATTCTCCAGACACAAATTGCTCTCCTGATAATCTTACTGCTTCGTCGGCCATTTTTGAGATGTTTAGGCCCCCATAGAAGCCAGTTAGAAAGAGGTTTTCAATAACGACATCTCCGTTTAATGTAGAAAAAACCAAATCTTGTTCGGTGTCTTTGGTGACGAAAGCGTCCAGAGGAATTCCATTGATAGTGTTGGATTCTATAGTGAGACCTCGGTCCACTGTAAAACCTTCCGGAAATGCTTTTAATGATACTATATCAGCTTCTTTATCATCCTAGAAACCATTGTATAAGGTGTTTGTAAGCAAATTAAAAAATAGCAAACTTTTTTCTAATCTAATAGAAAATGCTATTTTACAAAGACATTTTAAACTTAATTACATAATATTGTACTAATTAAACACCTGGTAAATTACGTCGCCTAACATGTTCTGAAACGATTTTCCATTGAAAGTGTCTAAAATGATGATGTTTCCACGAACTTCCAATTGTTTGAAATTAATTTTGGATTTTGTTTCATTTACCTCCATCAAAGTGGGATTTGTTAATAAATCTGTTGTATGTGGTTCTATAATTGCTCCTTTCACCTAAAATATAAAATTATATCTATATCTACGCATAAACTAACTCCTATACTAACTAATAATATGTATATCACTTCAACCGATCACATATTCAACCTCCGCATCTAATCATAAATATGAGCAATTTGTAGCTAATCTGTAGTGAATGTGTAGTGAAAGAATTAATTTTGTAGAGCTATATTTGTTTCAGCTAATCTCGGTCTTAAAATTTGAATTAATAGGTTCTACAAAGGTAATTCCTTCACAACAAATTAGCTGCAAAATGTTGTACAAATTGCAGTCTAACATTGGCAGCAACAGATCAATTTCCCGGACCGTATAACCTTTATAAAATTATTATAAATTCACTACAACTTATTTATATAAAATCAAACCCCTGTCTTCCATTGGGCATTTTTGGCAAGTGCCCAGGGCCCCGCAATCAAGGGGGGCCCTGTAGTTCCTGCCAGGTCCATTCACCAACCGAAAAACCAATATTTAATAACGATAAATATATTTATTTTAAGGAAATCAATCGTTAATTATAAAACAAAATTGAAAATGCATTTCCAAATGTAGAAAGTGCATTAAGAATCTTTTTAAGCATGATCATAACTAACGGCATTGAGGAGCGCTCTTTCTCGAAATTGAAAAAAATAAAAACTAATTAAGAAGTCCAACGCTATAAACTTTGAACAACTGATTGGCGATTTTGCTTTTATCAAAACTTTTCAATAAACATAGAATTTTAAGCAGTAACCTATGAATGCTAAAGGAGTTCCTGTTCCGAATTATATTTCAATTATCTATTCATTGATTGCAAATGTAAAAAAGACAAAAATAATTGTTCAACAAATTTAGAGTTTTGCTTATCTACTCTTTTTGACTGTTTTAACAAAATAGTACTCTGTCAAAGCCAGGGCCTTCAATAGGTTAAAGACGGTCCTGTACAAAATATGACAAAAATTAGATCCAGAATTTGACTAAAACGAATAGTTGCACATATGTATATTTGTATGTCTTCTACTAGCACGATATCAAGCTTTAACAGCAGATCAACCGATTTATATAGTGTCTACGATTCTTTCACTACAAATTCACCACCTGTTTAGTTACAAAATATGATACAGCACGCCAATAGATCATCGGATTTTTCTATAAAATTAACTCATTCAGAACCATTACAATTGTAGTATGGGTAATATTTGTAGCTAATTTTAATTAAAAATTAAAAATTAAAATAATTTAAATTAGCTACAAATATTACCCATATTTATGTTTAGATACGGTGGTTGAATATGTGATATGGTAACGTGATATACATTAAGTAATACCTACTAATAGTGATAAATTATTTTTTTTAATAATTTGTGATAATTAATTTTGACTTACTGTAATTTTTTCTAGTACTTTCATGTTAGAAAATATAAATTTTCCCGGCAAACTTTGATTAGTCGAACGAGTTAAGACATTTTTTGGGTCTATTCCATTCAGTTTTCCGTTAACATTTACTTCATCAGCGGTCAAAGTGTCAAGGAATGTCTTAGATCCTTAAATTNAAATAATTTAGTGGTACCGTGAATTTCTTTTTGGCTTAAATAGAGTACCTTCTCATGCAATTTCCATGTCCACAGGTGCGTCTATGTCAAAATTAAATTAAAATGATTAAACTGTGTCATGTCTAATTGCAGGCATTACTGTACAAACATTACAAGTAATATCATGAACCATAGTGTTAATTAAATTGGCTATACAGTTTGTGAATTACTAACTACGTACGTTAGTTTCTTTTCCAATTTGGAACCACTTAAGTTGAGTAATAAAGTTTGATTCAGTTGCAGTAACAAGAATGAGTTCGTACTGTCCTAGATTTGTATTCCATTTTCCCATTACAATTGCATCGCAAATTGTATCATTATATTCTGAAATTGGCACGTAAAACTATGTTTTTTCTTAATAGATTCAATCAAATCAAAAATAAATTATCAAACGTAATTACTAGAAGTTAGTTTGGTTTTAAGCATTTAGATATACCTCCCACTATCTACGGAGTAAAGTGTGTGTGAACTATACTCTGAGACATCTAAAGTGGCGGTTCATGCTATAAAACCGCCTTTGCTTATGCCTAAGTGCAATTACAACTTTGTGGTAGCAAACTAAACACAAACGTTTTATGTTCTGTTATGCACCTTTGCCTACAAAATTCAAATTAGTTTGGAAACTTTCAGGAGGGTGTATTCAAACTAATTCGACTACTCTGTTTTATCAAAGTATGGGAGATACGTAGGAAGTACAACATTTTTGTTGAATCCCAGCTGTAAGGATAAATTTAATAGGGATTATTATCCTTTAGCATTGTCAGTTGTCACTAAATTAAATTAACCATGTTAGCCATTCGACAAAATAAGCTTACAAATATTCTGCAAGTTTTATTACATCAGTCGCCACTTTAGATAGCTCAAAGGTTAGGTGTACTTATTCGTACCTATAATGTTTGAAGAAAGGTTAAATCCGTTATCTTGATTTAATTTTGTAGTAATTAAAATAACTTGAGATGTTGTGTACCCAACCGCGTAACTTTTGTCATTTAATGATATACTTCTCCACTTTGTCACATTATTTCCATAATTAAAATGACTGTTTAATTTTAAATCTGTTATTACCAATTCTACAAGCAATTTTTCGTATACAGTTGTCAGAAACAAGCGTTTTTGTGATCTACCTTCTCTATTTCCTACTCCCGTTCCAAATTGATAAGAATGCCAAAGTTTGTTTGATGCAGCTCCACAATTTAAATAAAGCACAATGATAACCAAATGTACCACCATACCGCCCATCTTTTGCGTCTCAAAGATACTAAACGTTCTCATTGTCCTGATGTCTTGGTATCGTTTTACCGTTTTTTTTCGTTTATTATCTTTACTTTAAAAACCAGTTTTTAATTGTTGTAATTAGGTAAAGAGTAAAATAAATTATTATCATAAATTTATTGCTTAACAGTATTATTTACATGGCATCACAAAATCCATTAAATTAATAATAATCACTAATTACCTATACATCAAGTAAACTTAAATATTGTACTAAATCCATTTGGACGTTTAAGAAAATTACTGAAAATAATAGTGATGTAGGTTCAATTCGATCCCATAGGAATACTTTTTGTATCATACGTATTATTTACAAAAAAAAAACATCCAAAACCCCAGTCTTTTGCTGTAAAATGGTTTTCATTACTTAACTAAGGTACTGTCACTGAATAAAACCTTTTAGGGTCTCCACTTCTTGGTTGAAATCTAATATTCACTTTTCGACCTTTTTGATCGTCAACTTCTAAAAATGTGTTCCAATCTACCAAGTGATAAAATCCACTCTTTCTTGTGGTAGGTGCTGGTTCTGTAGTTGTTGTAGTTGTTGCCTCTGATGTTCCACCAAATGAATCTTCTAAATCTTTTAAGTTTGGCGTAGATGCTGCAGTTGTAGTAGTTGGTGTTTCTTCTTCCGAAGAACTTCCCTTACTTAGAGATTCATCCGATGAACTACTAGAATCATCTTCGGCTGTTTTTAAATTTGTTGAAACCGATTCTTCTTCTTTAGCTACTGGTTCCGTTACAGTTTTGTTGGCTTGGCGTTTTACAGTGATTTTTGACACATCGATAATTTTGTTTGCATTTGGCTGAGCAGGATTATCGTTTTGATTTAGACTTGTTACTAAATCCTTTACTTTTTTTAAATCCGCTTCTTGTATAAGTTCAGTGTCATTCATGGTGTCAATCTTTTTAATGAAATCAATTAGTTCTTTAAGTTTATTAAGTTCTTCTAATTCTCGATCGTATTTGTTTTGTGCAGAACTAGATTTTTTCTCATATTTCTCAATTCCTTCCAAATCAATCTTCTTACTTTTGCGATCTGTTAAGCCTAGATCTGTAATGATTCCTTTAACTTCATCTGGGAAAATATCAATTTCAATTTCTCTTGGTGCTAAATCCTCTTTTTTCTGGTTGCCTTTTCCTTCTTTATTATGTTTAGAATCCCTTGCTTCAAAGCCAAATCCTTCAAGAAATGTGGCCATATCTTCTCTCGTTGGTGCACTATCAGGTAGTGGTTTGAATTGAATAAACGATTCTGGTTCTACATTAGGTTTCTCCGGTTCCATATAGATCGCTTCTGGTTTAAATATAACCGGTTTATCTTTTGGATCTGGGATTAATCCAAAGCTCATAAGTAATTTCTTCATTTCTGGTGTTAAGTTGTCTGCAACACTGGCCATGTCAGAAACAGGAGTTGTAGCAGCAAACTGTTCAGATGCAGTCGGAGCCGGTTTCTTGTAAGTAATTTCATTTTCATTTTTCTTGTTGGCAATAACATCTGGCTTTGAATAATTTGGTATATGGAAATCATTTGGAGAGTAACTTTCGGATGCTTTGGGTGGTAACGATTCTTGAGCTATAAGTATCTCATCAGGTACCTGGGAGATCTCTTGTTGTATGTAAGCTGGAGGTAAGTGAAACTTTGGAGGGGGAATAACATTTAACCCTTGACCTTGGCTTAAATAATAATTAGTTTCATAATATTTTGGAGTGGTTTGTTTGTTGAAAGGTTTTACTGGATATTTTTTTACAGGAGGAAGTTTCGATTGTTTGATGATATTAAAAGCAGTTGTTTGAGTTGTTGGTTCGAAACTAATTTTTTGCTCTTCCTCTTTGATGTTCTGTTGTGCGACTGTTACAAAGTTGTTGAAGTTCATCGAGGGTGCTGTTGTCGAACTGGTATCAATTTGTGGAATGGTAGGCGGAAGGGTAGGTCTTCGTCGCCTTACTGGCTTCATTTCTGGTCGGTTTACTTGATCATCAATTATTTTTAAAACGGGTGGTTTGGTGTACAGTTCTTGAAGATTATTGCCAGCATTACTTTTAGGCTTCTCTGTATTATCGTCAATTATTTTTATGATCGGTGGTCGCGTGTATAACTCTTGCAAGCTGTCGTCGGTGTTGTTTTTGGGTGAATAAGGCAGAACAAGCATTACTGCCCTTTGATGGGGTGTTCTGCTTTTGTTTATCTTCTCCAATTCTTCCAAATCTGATTTGGTTATATTCTCAATCAAGTCCAAAATTTCGCCACGAGTTAGTCTTGGTAATGACGGATCTCTAGAAAGCTGAAGTTCGACTTCATCGATGATTGCTTCAATCAGGTCTGCGCTTTTATTATTAGATTTTAGTGTAGCCATGACTTGAGAGACGGCATTTTTAATGTCTTCGGCAGTCGTAAAATCGTTGACTTCATTATTTGGGGTTAACACCACCAGGGATATATTTCTGCTATCTACAGGGATCCCCGAAGCGTGGTAAAGACATCCAAAAATTGTCAGCAGGACAAACATCTATAACAAATTGTTCTTATTAGAATTCGAGTTATCAACAAAAGATAATATTAATAGGATTAACGGTTTATCCTCGCTTTGTCATTCAGACACATCTCGTAAAAGCCAAAGACCTGCCTCGTGAAAAAAATCGGTGTTTTGAGAACAGACTCTTGGAATAAATTTAATAATAGTGTTAGGTCACAAAAGATACCGTTAAACAATTTAGACTTGTATGTATGCATTGCCTATTTATTACCTATAACTTTTACTGCTAATCAAATCTAACTGTATCTTTATTCGCTTCAAACGACATTATTCATCAAAGTTAAAGATTATCTATCGTCTCCGTTCTACCTAGTTGAATAGAACAGAACTAAGGTAAAAACCTGCTATTTTGCTACTAAAACCTTTATCAAATGTATTTAAAAGTTTGTTTGTGTTAAACAAAGCTAATAAAGAAATGAAAGATTTCGTAATAAATATTGACCAGTGCATAGTTTTTAGTTCGTATAAGTGAGGTTGTTTTTCAGACTTATGTAACAATTGTTTTTAAATGAACTGTACGGTCATTCGCTGTTTATAAAAATCCATTTGTAGTTTAATACGTGAGATTTCTAATTTTTTTCCGAAATCAGCCAAATGCAAACTCAATTCTAAACATTTATTAATTTGACGTTAAAACCAACTGGTACAAATGTTCATAAAGTATATTTATAAGAAACATGTTACTTTTACTTTCTGTTTAATTTAATTGCGGTTTTCACTAATTTTAAAGCTTAGAGGCTTTTTTAGTGAAATTACATAAATGTTTGAGTTTGTTTATGAATTGTCAAGAAGACAGGTGTTTTTATGTGTTACAATGTTTTGTACTCCTTAACAACTAGCTTTCTAGGAAATTACAGTATTTCGTAGATATCGTTTCGAAAAGGGATTTGTATGTGTCTTGACATTAAATTTAAGAACATGCTTTCGAATGGAAGTTTTAGTAAAACAATATAGTGTTGCGGTTTCCAAGTACCGAGAAAATCATGCTGTTGTACAAGAAAATTCTATTGTCGTTGTAGTAAAATAATTTTTTGTTTTCCTTTTCCGGAAATTTGTTCTTGAACGCACAAAATGAACCCACTACTGCATATTTTACGCACGAACGTCTATAATAAAAAAAAGTACAGTTTGCTGCAGTAAAAAAGGTTGAAAATTTCATTTTTCGATTAGATTGTTAACAAGAAGCAGTAAAAGATGCGTGAAATTGCGTAAACACATTCGGTTTAGCATTTAGAAGACTCAGGTCTTGCAAAATATCATCCGATTTATTAAGCAGTGTAAAGAATATTAGCGAATAAAAACGGCAAAAAACGTGTTTTTGTCATGTAAGTAAACTCGGTGCAACTGAGATAGCCGATGATATGATCTTCTGCACCATTAAAACGTGTATTCAAAAGTCAATGGGCCTACTTTTGATATTTTGTATTTCAGGTGACAAACTATTTTATCGAAAAACAATAATATCTAGAAAAGTTGATATAGTTCACTCTTAGAGTGACAATTTAAAATACGTTATATATAAAAGGCACAATAAAACTCTTGATCAAGTTCTACAATATTTTTCATTTTTTTGCAAAAGTTAAAAAGTTAAAAAAGTTAAGACTGTATCCAGTATATAAAATAGGATCTTCTTGCTTAAAATACATATGTGTGCCGTTTTTTTGGAAAAATCCAATTATTGGAATAGGATCCGGGAACCATTTATTCATATAATTGAATCTCTACAGTAGTTTTGAGATGGTATCTCTTGCAATTTGAAATGAATCATTAATTCATTCCGAACATTAAACCATTAATTATGTACGTGTACGGTGTATTTCGCTTTCTGAAAAACACTTTCCCCGAAAACTTTTGCACTAATTGACCTAGTACACGGAGAGAGGCAAGAAGTTTTCTTAGAAATTAATTAAACAAAATTATAAGTACGTCATCATTCTGAAAAAGTAGTTTCACTAATTGCTTATTTGTCTTTTCTTTTTTTATCATTTATCGTTTATTTTCACATTGAAATTGTAAACTCTTGTTATATCCGTGAATAAAATCTAGAGTAGTATTCCACATTTGCTGTTGTAACAAACTTTTTTTTATAATTATCAAAACAGCCGCATTTTTGTATCAAATTAAAGGTGTCGGTATTCTATGCTCATTTTAAAAGGGTGCGATACGACAGGTCTCGCGCAACAAGACATCGAGAAATTCTCTACATGCATCAGTGCGTAAAGATATTTTTAGGTGAAATAAAGTACAATTTCCACAACAGGTTATAGAGCTATTCCAAAATGTCATGAATCCTCACATGTGTAAGAAGCGGCATTCGTATTGTAAATTACAAATACATTGACTCAATTGTTAACTAAAATGCACCTCGCTGTACAACCAGTATACAACTTTAAACAATAAACAGTCAATGTTTTTAATAGGAGGTAGAAATGTGAAAATCAATGAACAGGCGGAGTTTTGTCACTACACAGATCAAGGCCAAGGCCCATGAGATTGTAAACTGTCTCTACTAGTATTCAATTAAAATTATTGATGAGCTAATTGCGCTGCGGATATCTTCATTTGAATGTTACAAATTCCTACAATTGCAGGCATTTATCTATAAATGTGACGTACAGATTCCTTAGTTGTATTTAATATTGGCTGTAAGTATAGTATTCTTTTACAAATGCAGAAGTAGATTACCTAAATAAATGGTGATGTAAGTTTAAAAAATAAGGAAAAATATATCTTTGAAAATTTAATTTTACTCGGTGTACTTTTTTGTTGTTACAACCGTTAAATACAAGAAAAATCATTTTAATGTAAAATCCTTGAAATGGGCCACCTAGGATTATTTGTGTCGTAGTGTTTTAATGGTAAGTTTTTTGATTCTGTGACTACCTTTCCGGGAGTGGGCATCAAAGCTGACCAATATTGATTTGACGAATTGGCTAATTCTTAGCCGATTTTGACCATTAAAAAAACATGCCATAAGAATATGCAAAAAAAAATTGTAATAGCACTTGAAATGAAACTCGAAAAAATTTATACTTTTCAGTACAAATGAGTCTAAGTTAACATCCTATCGAATCTCTACGCAGGGGGATACTCCCTCCTTTCATTCTTACAATAATCTCATGGCTCATCTCTAAGGACTACATTTAGCTCTCCAAAGTGATATCTTTTCAAATGTTGTTACTGTGAAATTATTGAAGCAGATGCACAAGACAATGGAGGTCCTTCATTGACAATCTCATTGCTTAAAAACAATCACCTGCTGTTTTTCTCAACTTGGTTTGTCTATACATGTATGCGAATGAGAAGAAAACTTGCTCTAAATTTTAAAATAAAGCACCATTTACTTTCTCCGTTCGTCATCGTACATGCACATTATTAAATGAGAGCCCCGTTCTCACTTTCTCTTGGTTTTTGCTGTTGTAACCTGTAGTTGTAACGTTAGCAGTAAATTGACTACAATTAACGGCAAATGATAGTTAATTTGTTCATCATTCCTCGTCTCTGAAATTGTGAATTATGCAATAGTGACGCGTTTCGTATACGTATTATTACTACACGTTTGTAATTTGACTTTTTTATTGCACCTAATGCCGTGCGTGTGTATATACAGTGTGTAAACTTCAACGTATTTAGAAAGACATTAACACACTGTGACACACTTTAATAAAGTCATATTGCCGGAGGTAGTATCAGTTCGTTGACGTTCATTGAAATGGGTTTCTACAAAGGTGCCATACCGGATACTTGAAAGCTGTTCTCTGTAGCCGTTATATGGTACAATAGTCTAGATTTTGCCAGGGATAATTATGCGAACTATGCAAACTTCCCAAATACTCACAGAATAATTTTAAATGGAAATCAAAAGAAAGAATATTATTTGAAATAATACAATAACAAGTACTGATAATGGACCATGCCTGAAATTATATCGAGGTTTTGAATAAATTGATGAACATCTTCATTTTCTTTCTTTTTGTATAAAAATAATGTTTTACGGGAAGTTAGTCTACTGTCGATAGTTGATAGGTAGGAATCAAAGCCAAATTGAGATGAATTTAAAAAAAAAAACTTGGGTGTTTCATTCCCACCAGCCAGTAATGCTGGTGGGCGGGCAGTCCCTCCGGACTATGCCGGAAGGTAGGGCGGAAGGCCCTCTTCAGCCTGCTTTTAGGAATCGTGGGAATTTAACAGAACTGCCAACATTTATATTTCACCTTTGTAATGTAGTAGAAGTAGCGGGTGATTATAATATTGTATTATTTTTTTGCCCCGCATTGGATTTTGATCCGGAATCTTTTCTATATACTTAGTAAACAATAATAGATTGAACAGTAAAGGATACCATGTATGTATATAGGTATCTATTTTGTTTTGGCATACCGGTAGGATTAATAGACATGCAAATACGTATTACAAAATAGGTAGTTAGAAATTTACTTTTTTAATTTGAAAAATTAACGCAAAAAATATTCAAAATTAAATTAAAATTCATGGAATAGAACGAGCAATAATAGAAAGTTGAAAACTGTTAACTGTTAAAAAATTAAAAATGCGTACTTGAATAATGTAACAAATAAATCCAAGAGAAAAAACTGCTTTTGAATCAACCAATGTTTTTTCTGCATTTCGTTAATGTGAGTATGGATCTTTTAGGAATGTAGGTTAATATTACACATTTTTCATTTAAAACTATACTATCTTGATTTTTCTTTAATTATTTTCACATAGATGTTAGGTAAATGTAGATTTAAGTGATATTTTCTTAGAATTATTGATAGCTCACTTTAGGCGTGCTTAATGTTAGTAAGTTTCTAAAGTTTTTATTATTTAGGAAATAATACTGTTTGGTAATGTTATCGAATTTTTTCCCGGAAGAACTATATTTTTATGTAATTGTGAAAATGCTCGGTACATGTTCTGTGCTCTGTTTTTACATGTTTCAGGTTAATAAAGTAAGTTAAAATAGTATTATTGTAACTTCAAATAGTTCGCTTTTCTTGTGGAGTAGACAGTTTTCATAGAATGCATCCAGGAGTCGTTTAAACTGACTAAAACAATAAAAAGTAAATTTTTGTTATCAACAAATTTTGAGATTTTACTGACTCATTTCAATTTCCTTAGTTTCACAAAAAAATTTAAGGTGTTACAGAACGGCGAATTCTGCAATTGATTGTTATAACAACGTTGTTTAAAACTGCTTCTTTTTTATATAAACATATATATATTATTTCATATATTTTATTAAGTCTCAGAAAATAAAACATGAAATGATAAAAAAAATCAGAATATGTTCACCTAATAATACAATGTGTCCTGGATCTTAGACTTAAGGAACCGCCCGAAACGTCGTGATAGCATAGGAGAAATTATCAGTAAAAGACCTTTAAAGGGACTCTATATCACCCAGAAAAAGCATAGACATTAGAATATTTTTTTAATTGATATCAGTTCTCGCTATTGATTATTAATTTTGTTGCCAACTTCGCCTTCCTAAAATGACCCTATCATATGTGTTTCTCCAATCCGAAGAATGAAAATACTATTACAGTTTCTTTAGAATATTCAAGTAATATCACTGCATTCACTGTTTTGATGATAAAAATACCATTATCGTTTTAATACCTATCTATCTGATAAAGCATGACAAAGTCTAATTGGACGAAGTAAACGAAACGCATTTTTTTTACATTTAGCAGCATTGAAAACTGCTTTTCATCGTTAATGCAGGAGTCATTACGATGAAAACTAATTGCATTCTTTTCGGTTTAATAAATGACACAAATGCAACACCACTTTAGCGCAGGGTAATTAATACCTAAGTATTCCAATTTAGAAAAACCACTTTTGAGATTCGTCGCAGCCTTCGTATTCATGAGAAATTTCGAAAAAGCCAGCAACCGTTAAAGGACACATTGTCATAATTATTATATAGAGTCAAAAGTTACATCTGTTAAAAGGTTATGAAAGTGGAATTAATTAAACTTACGCTGTGTTGTTGTCAGTGTTCGTTGTATGCATATTTTATAATGCAAAATTGCTAAACTACTTCTGTCATTGTATACAGGGAGATTCACTCCTGCTGTGTTGTAATAATATATAATTTATTCGATTTTATTTGTTTGTCTGTTTTAAAAAAATAATTCACGCAGATATAGTTCACGTTGACAGTACGTTGTTTCTTTTGGTGCATTGCGAATAAAATTTGAGCATGCACATACAGCTAATAAAAATTCGCTGACGAGAATGATGTTAGCAAGCAGCGTGACTGCGAATTATTAGTGAGTACATGACGATTTTGGCCGCAGGACAAAACTCTGACCCTGGCGCTGTTCGTTGAATGGGGCGAGTTCGTACTGCCGGGCTAGTTGGATCATGATTTTAAATGAGTACATAATAAGTGTTATATAAATTAAATAAGTATAAATGCCGACGCGTGAGGCTATATAAGTGCACACATCTTTTTTTATACTTTTTTCCTTTTTTAATTATTATTTGTCTTCGATGTTTGTAGACGACATTCCATTTTAATGAAATAAATTATAATTGAAACTTTTAAAAGTATTTATCTTGTCTTTGAACCATAAAAAAACAAGCGCTCAGTTAAGTAAGTACCTATCTAACTGCTTGCAAACGTAAAATTATGAGGATATTCTAGAACGAACCAGTGGTAGTTATAATTAGTAGCACTACTTTCGTTTTCCAAGGTAATTTACTTGAGCATAACTCCAGAGAGATCAATTAGAGAATTATAGCACGCTTGCCTGACAAATATGCAGTTGTTGCTCATTAGTTTCAAAACTAAACCACAAACTACCCAACGATCAGTTTTTGTGCAAAAATTGTTAAGCGCAATATTATTAGAAAACTGAAAACAAGGAAGCGGGCAAAGAAGTAATCAAATTAAAATGTACAGCATAAACTGGTCTATATTTTAAAATTCCTAAAAAAACTTTAGTAGTACTATTGTCCTGTCTCATTGATTTATCAAAATCTAGGCTATACCTTTGGGCATACATAGTTGAAATTTTGCACAAAGGTTTCTATGAAGGACTACCCGAGATAAAAATGTTCAGTCTTTCAGAGTCTCTGAAAGCGAGACTTGAGTCTCCATCTCTCATCGAGTCTCTCTGGTGTCGCGAGACTGTCAAAAAAACTGTTTAGCGCCTTTGAACGAAAGACTCGAGTCGCTCATAGATAGATCCTCATTTCGTATCCAGTCTGAACGAGAGACTCGAATCTCTCAATAAGTGGTAAGACATGGTTAAAATTTTCTAAGTTCAACATATTTCAGAGATCCCAGTCTTTCTACGAGAGACTCGAGTCTCTCAATTTTTCAGTTTTATTCATTCAGTCTCTCTGTGAGAGACTCGAATCTCTAAATTAACAATTTTATCGTTCGAGTCTCTCATACAGGGGCTGTGAGAGATCCATAAAAAAACCTAGGCAATAACTGAGAGACTGTGAGAGACTGGAGAGGGACTGAAAATTTTTATCTAGGGAAATGCGAAGTTTAGCTAACGATAGGAAAGAATGGAAGTACGTGTCCAACCGGTCTTAGGACTGACGACATTATGATGATGATGACGAAAGAATATTTTGAAATTCAGCCCCTGAGGGGATGAAAGTAAAGTAGTAAAGTTTGTGTGGAACATTTTTGTTTGTGGCAAAATTTACTTGAAACTTGTCTTAATGCTCTTTGATATAATTAATCGAACACCCACTTCGGCATTTTAAAAAATTCAATCTGTTTTAAAACCATTATTGTTTAAATTTTAAGTCTCTTTTTCAGCAGTGTCAATAAAAAGTTTTAGCTTTTAGCTATTGATTAGTACAAAATTTATTTTCAGTATATCAGAAACCCGTCTACATTTTATAAAATCCTGTGATTCCTGAAACAGCCTACGATAAGTAATTGGAATTATTATATTACTGATTGTCAAGAAATCGTTCGCAAGTTCTTACGCAGTGGTTTGCATGTTAGATCAAAGTGAAAGAATTTACTGAATATTGCAATAGCATTAATTTTTTTGTTGTTCTTGGTTACACATACATACATATAAACAGCTCTACATGTTTTTTTGTCTATTCCTTTTAACTAAACTCTGATGATAATAATATTCAATAGAAACAACTTTGTCTTAATTGATTTTACCTGCTTTGTTACTAATTGAATAAAATAAGTAGCATTAGCTAATGTATGTTAATAAACTAGAAAATGTAGGAAAATCCATTTAGTGAACGTTCTTTATTTTTGTGTGCGACAAACAAATTAAGAGAGTTATTGTACCAGAAAAAATGTTAACATTTTACAAAAAGCATATTTATATTTTACTATTGTAATATTTCTCTCAGAAATCAAAGGAAGTTTTTTTTCATATTCGCCGGAAGTGGAACCCGGGCTCCCCAGTTATATGCATTAGTACTGAGTTCGATTCCCGGGGAAGGTGTGACAGCAGTAACAATTTTTCCGCATTTATTTGGGGGAAAATGTAGAGGATAGAAAGTTAATTTCAATTTAATGTTTAATATTAAAAACTTGTAACATTAATTATCCAACAGAAAGTTTCTTGTTAGAACCTAAGAGCACAGAAACGACAAAAATTATCTCTCGACTGCTTCGAAGATTTGAATAACCTGAATACAATTTCCGTTCGAAAATGCAAATTTGAGGTTGTATGTCCTTTATAAAGACATAGTTAAGTTTTTTATAGAATTAGTAAATAAGTCGGTAGATCGAGACATTATAATGTTTACACGGTATTGAATGTGTTTCTTAAGTATTTTTTTGCCAATAGGAATACATAATTAAGTGATTGCTTTCTCGGGTCAAGTGTTTCATAAACTTACAAATATAGAAGCGTGTTTACAAAAATTCCTGCATTTTATTTTTACTAACGTGCGCTGTTTAAGAGATAAATAGGTATGTTTTATGCAGATTCAAATATCGATGCACTATTTATATAAAATCGTTCGTTATACATACATATGTATGTCTATTAATATTATGAGAACACAAGAGCTTAATTCCGTATATTTACTGAAATCTATAATAAAATTAATATTACGATAATTGCTATTTAATGTGCTCTTTACGAGGTACTTGTCACGAAATTGACGAGGAATTTTTATCGATTTTGTTTTCTTGCTTTATAATACAAAGAATTAAGTTTAGTTTAACAGTAAACAGTGCATAATTTTATGTTGATTCTGTTTTACTTTCACTTTAAATAGGAAATCGCTAACAGTACAAATATTAAATAAAAGTTTCAAAATTGTGAAGTAACTAACTTACCCTTATTTTCTCTATGATTCCACACCGGAATGTGTAGATATGTAGAAAGTATGGAATATTATTATCTTGAAAAGCACTGCGAATTCAACGGTCAATTATTATTAAAATTAGCTCTCACCGTTTGGAAAGTAATCGCGTTCGGTAGACAATATAGCGACTCGTAGGTTTGCGTGCGTGTCACCTTCTGCAGTCGATTTCGTTCTTAAGGAGACACGGTGAAAGCCCCCCTTGTGTTGTTAATTTAATGTAGTAGAAGAATCTGGACGTTCTTTGTCGCCCCACCTTTGCATAACACGCACCATCGACAGTGCAATCGTATTAACAACGACAGTGTTATTGTAGGTCATTACCAAACTCGTATGCACAATTCGTAATTGTACTTGTGTATGTATGAATGTATGAATGTATGTACTCTTGTCGAATATGAAAAATTTGCACCTTACATACAGAAAGGATCCATTGACCATAGTTTTGTAATTAGCATAGTTACATAATAAACCAGAACACAAGTGGTTCGGTAGGTTTATCATATATATACACACGACGTATTTTTTGGAATTGCTTAAAAGTCTTTACAATATATTGAAACACTAAACATTATTTATTCCGTTAATTTTTTGAATTTTTTTTCAAAAATGGTTTGTTTGCTTTAAGTATTTCATAAAATTCACAATAAGAACGTTTTGCGGGTGTTATCAGTAGATACTGATGTGCGAGTGCATCCTTTCTGCAAAGCAAACATTCCCCATATCTGAAGGACTCTTTGAGTCCGAGGCAAAGACATTACAAACTCAACCATTTTAAAAAAAATTGCAACAAGAAAATAAAGAGCAATAGGCAATTGTAGAGCTTGAGAAGTAACGTAGAGAGTAAATATTAGGAAGAGAGTCAGATAGATTGGTAGGACATCTTCTCAGGCATGAAAGTCTAGTCAGAGACATGTTAGAAGCAGAAAATAGGATTTAAGAGAAGTAGAGATAAATCTAAATCAAATTACTGTTCACAAATAGTTCAGGATGTGGGATGTTGTAGTTTTAGGGAAATGCGAAGATTTAGCTCAAGATAGGAGAAAGAAGAGGTGCGTGTCCAACCAGTTTTAGGACTGACGACCTTATGATGGTGATGAACATGAAATATTTCGTAACACCTTAAAAATTGCTTTCCACTTCACTTCAGATGTGTATGGTACAATTTTAGAACTTCATTGATTGCTTATCCTTTGGTTTTGAATAACCTTGTAACCTGGTTTAAGAAGGTCATCAATAATTGTGAAATCGTTTATAATTTCATTAACAACTTAATCAAACATGAACATCAAACCAGTCTGCTTCAGATCGTAAATTTGTCCATTGAAACTTACTCGTAACTTTATTAAAACTGGTTTTCCGTAAAATTCTCGATCGCCGGACGTTATTTATTTTTACGGGATATTTTTAAATTATTTGGATAAATAATGCTTCTCTGAAGTTTAATGTCTTCTAGTATAGTTCTTTGTGAATCATTTTAGCTTTATCTCAATATACAGTTGCCCATTACATTACCCTAAGACACTGAACTCTTACATGCTAAGAACCAACTCTCATATGGGACCAGGTAGAGACAATCCTTCCTCTGATAACTCTTTTCCAGTTTTATTTTTACAAGAATTCTTTTTAAGGTTTAACTGGATTTGAACATAATTGTAACGATGGATGTGTTTCTAAAACGTATGGTCTTTTCTGAAATCCAAACCAAAAACTCTGCACCGTTCACACGAATTTCTGTTTTTCTCTCTAATTTATTGAATATGAAAATTTATTAATAAGGGAGAGGGAGGGGTATGGCTTACTGTGACGGGTTACGACATGAGGGGTGGTGGTGTAAGGAAATGACGTTGGCAGTTCATCAGCTTTATTTTAACGTTTTCCTTAACTTGATAGTTCCTAAAATTTTTCATTACGATTGCTATTTTTGATCACAAAAATCGTTTATGGGGGAAGGGGGCTGGCTTTTGTGATGTAATATTTATTAGGGGGGTTGCTGAAAGTTTGGCTTAGCGAGACAAAGGAGGGAGGGTCCCGAAAACGTGAAATTCTGAGTAACGTATCTTGTAGACGATGCTTTATCAGAAGTACTCCAAGCACGGTGACAAATATTCTCGACGAACAATTCTGAACAGTTCGCAGGGCTTCCGGTAAATTAGCGTACCTACATTAGATTCAGCGAAATACAATTTTTTCTTCCCGCTTCGTTTCCCTTCGCTTCCGCATACTGCGCTTTGACCTTTCGACTCCTTAATGAAACTACGATCACAATAATAATTACAATAAAGCAAATGTATCATAGTTTAATTTCAAATTATTTTTATTAGAAAATGTTTTAATAATTTACATTCGAGAATTGTTTCGTATAAATAGTACTTTCTTTAATAATAGTTATGATATAAGCCATGGCAAGTTTAAAGGCAGTAATCCCTCCTTATTACGAATAACTTACTGTAAACAAAATGAAACAAAATGTGGTGACCAATGCAGTTACACATTCTCTATATATATAATAAAAAAACAATAGTAAAAATAAAAGCAAATAGTGTATAGACAATAATTACAATATTAAAACTTAACACAACCATTATTTCGTCGTCTCAAATTATTCGGTAATAATTAGCTGTCATTGTGTTGGTATTATAATAATAAATATTTTTACAAGTTTAATACTGTAGTATACTTATCAATTTTATACAAGTGTTTATTATATTGTTATCAGAAATTTTACAAAGTGAGATTATTAAAATATTAGTTGAGAAATTAACTAACATAAGTTAAATATTAGAAGCAACTAAGTCAAATAGCGTTAAAATATATTAAAATCAGTTGTTAAAAGTTTAAAAAATGTACAAAAATTCAATCACGTAAATTACTGGAAAAGAAGTTTAGTAAAAAATAATCACATTCAGTAATTTTATAGAAATTAATTTAATTTTGAAAGTATCATGTGATGTGTCTCCAGTTGTATATATGTACCTAAGGCTTTATTTGTATTTATACGGGACACCCCATTTGTAATTATAAAGATATTATTTGCAATAACTGCATTGATGAAAACATAAGTGTATAAAAGATCAAAAGCATTCTCACAATGTGATGAATTATATTTTATGAGTATTTCTGCTCCAATTTAAGAAAATAGTTCAGTCATTTTTAAACAACGTATGATAGCAAAACTAACGAATGGAATGCAGGAGTTTTCCAAATATTCGCTATCGCAACAAATGATTTCTATACATTACTTATTAATTTCAGTAATAAATACAATAGCTAAAACTAGTCTTTTTTAAATTTGTTTAACATTATATACACGTTAACAAGAAATAATTATTAAATATTAATTTATACAGGGTATTTAACATCTTCATTTACGTACAGGGTGAACCAATGAAACGGGACAATTTGGAAACGCCACTACACAAAAAAGTAGTTGGGCTTGGGCCGTCAACGCTGTGAATATAGATAAATAGTGGGAAGTTAGCTATTATAGATAGTGTTGCAACATACTTTTTGTTTCTGCTTCCGTAATTGCGGAAGTTCCGCATCTAGTTCCGCGTTTTTATAACGGAAGCTTTTGTTATTTCTCATCTTTTTGAAAATCAATATACCGAAACAATAAAACAAATAGTAACATTGTGAACGTATTATTATCAATCGTTTATGCTTATGACCTAAATTTATTTCCTAGTATTTCGTATGTTGATATTCTCCAAATTTTATTCCCTTATTAGTTTCTTACTTTAATTTAAAAACGTCCAGCTTCCCCTTCAGCCAGTTCTAATTATTTCATTTCAAAAATAGTGTTTATTTACTTTGTATAGCGCATGCTTAGTGGTGTAAATTTTAAGTTAAAAGTGCAATTTGGGAGCCAAAAAGATATTAACAATGCATGTGCTAAATGCAAAATTTGTAACAAAATATTCGCGAAAAGGGCGCCCGACCACTCCATTAAAGAGTCACCTAAAATCATTACACTTCGGCTTCCGTTTCCGCAAAAATTTACTATTTACTTCTGTTTCCGCTTCTGTTTTCGTTGTGACACTTCCGTATTACCAAAATAGGGAAAGTTTAGTCCGTGCGAGACGAGTGTCTACATTATCGGTTACCGTCTCGCGTTCGTATGCATGCGACTTTTTCCTTTGGGGGCATCTCGAAACAAAAGTACTACCCTCCAAGGACTGTCAAGAAAACGGAAATAGGGGAAGTGATCGCGGTATAGCTAGAAATGATAAGCAATGCTATGGGCAGTTTTCTATCGAGGCTTCAGAAATGTGTGCGACAAAACGAAGACTACCTCTCAGACATTATTTTTAAAAAATGAACTTTTGCACATACACAATGTGTCCATTCGTCTAGATTCTGTTTTAATTTACAAATCTTACAAAAGATTATTTTTTTAATATTTTCCGACTTTTTAAAATCGTCCCTTTTCATTGGCTTACCTTATATTTGATCTGAAAATAATACTATTGAAAAACTGTTTTGTTTGGGTTACGAAGAAAACTTTTTCTGTATAGCTAGTAAACGTTTAAAAAATATGAAACTTTATGTTTTATTTTTTTCTTTCGGTGACTTAAACATCCTGTACAAAGAAGATATAAGCGCAAAATTACATTAGATTAAACGTCAAAAGTGTAGTTATCAGTTTTATCCAGCACAGTATAGGAAAAATGGAAAAATAATTAAATTTTAAAAACTGGACAATAATAATTTAAATAAACTCTTCAGTCTTTCATATGTTTTTTGCATGCTTGTTTTACCTCCACTGGCTATTGGAACACTAATTTTTTATTATTAAACGCAAACGGTGCCCTAAATAAGAGGTTTCACTGGTCCACGCTAATGACGTAAACTCTAATGATTTTTTTTTTTCAATAAATAATTATAGATGCATTAATGATACAAGCGAAATTTACATATATGAAGTAGTAAAACTGATTTTGTTGACTTCATCTTTATTATGAGTCGCAATCTTGACGCATAAATAAATAAAATAAAGATAGCACTACATCGTCACTGACAGAAACATCGTTAGTTTAAACGGGGTTTGTTTTAAATTTTATGATATCACATCATATCGCAAATTAAATTAAAAGTCCAATGTGTTTCGACGCTCGATGCGTCTTCCTCAGTCACCTACTTCTTTTAGTACGAAAATAATTTTCAGCGAAATATCAAAATATTGAATATTTTTTATTTTGATTTCGGTAACTGTTTGGTACTCACTTTTAGTGAATTTTAATAAAATTAAGTCACACGTAGTAATTGTAAATAAATAAACTATGACCCAGTTTAATGATAGAATAAATTTATGAACTGCTGGTTAAAAACCAAAGTAGTGATACGTTTATTTTATTTATTTATTTTGTATTCACTCGATAAAAATGAAACGTTTTTGATTCACTCACGTGTAGTTCAAGTAATCACACTTACGATTGCACTTTTAAAGCGAATTAAATTAGAAAAATAAATACGTATATCGACTTTTTATTCTAATTTCTAATTTCTCCTTTCTCGCTACGAGTCACTATAGTACTTTGTTTCCGATTTTTGTTTTAAACCTAACTCGCTGCCTGGTCCCCGACAGCACATAAAATTAATATCACCAGAATATCAGTCATCAGTAATCACGAATGAAAATAAAAAATATTGACGATATTAACAGAAGAAGAAGTCCTTATTATGCTATACATAATTTTCTCCTGGAGTTGGCTGGTTTACGTTGTGTTTATTGCTGCGCTTAGTCTTCTCCCTATTCAATATTTCATTTTTCGCACCGTCCGGATTACTCACTGACGGCTGAGAACAGTTGTTGTTCTGAGTGGGTAGAGAAGACATTTCAATCATGTTCTGATTCTGGAAAAAATCCGAGCTAGAAATTTCTGTAAATAAGACGAAATTAACCTAGTTTTAGTTGTAAGTACCTATGTAGCGATAAAAAGTGTGGTAAGCAAGACAAAACAGCAACGGTATTAGTTGTTAGTCGAAGCACAGAGATAGTAGAAAGGCAGAACCTGTCATTGATTTTTGTAAAAAAGCGTCCAGAAACGACTCATATTCGGCAGGAGAAAAAAGAAGTGTGTTGCCTGATCCACGAATTCTCTAACGTTTCATCTGTAAACAACAATTTCAAAAAGTAAATTTTTTGAGAACTCACACAAAATTGTTTAGTTTTATAACGTAACCTAGATTAGTATACACATATTTTCCTCTCGCAATATGTTGTACAACCTGATTTAACTGGAAAAACCCTCCTCTATAAGTTTTCTATATACATATGTATGTCATCACATAATTTTATGTAAAAACCCTGAACTCCTACAATTACACAATACATAAATTGGAACTACTCAAAATATGTACCAGAATTTTGGAATAATATCCCTGTAAATTATTAGGTAAGCATTTACAGCCCTTGTCTGCGGGTGACTTCACGTTGGGTGGAAAAAATTATGCCCAAAAATCTCTTACGCGTTCCCCAGGAACAAAAACATTATGGGGTACAAGTGACTTAGGTTAATATTTTTAATCGATTATTTATTTATTAGGTAGGTAATTGTCTAATTTTTATTACGTGGCGATCCTGTTCCCCGTCTTTTGATCGTGCCTTTATTATTTTTGTACTGTAAGCTGACTCCCCACACCCAACAAACTTTTGCTTCGCCTGCCCTTGTCGAAGTTACAATTATAGATTCTTGGGCTGCTCGACATACCTATTGGTAAGGCAAAATATTCCTCGAATAAAAAAATTAGACACGCGCGAAAGTTCATAATTTGGTGAACATCTTGTATATTTTTTTTCAACCACGTCCATCTGAAAACATCATCCGCTTTTCTAAAAACCATCCTGAACTAAAATCTTTTGAACAAAATAAAACACCCCCCAAAGGCTTTCAATTGAATTTATTGGACATGTATCGCTTTATTATTTATGTGAAAAGTTGGCTACAGGCATTCGTACGAATTTTCTCTATACCATATATTTTTCAAAAGATGTCTGCTTATTTTACATGTTTGTTAATGAATACATCGAGAAAACTAAATTTTCATGACAATGCAAGAATTACAATTTATTGGGTTGTTCGGAAAGTCATTTCGTTTTTTCCCGACAGAGGATTTAGTTGTATTCTTTTGCACCCAACTTCACATTTAAGCCGTATAATTTTTATATGCTTTGAGAGCTCATATAGCAAGGCTTGTGTGTGAAAAATTCCAAATCTTTAATTTTTATTGAACATTATTTCTTCTTGCCCTTAGGAATAAAATTTTGAAAATGAAAATTTCCGAAAGGTTAGCGTCGGCATTATTCTACTCATACTCTGCAACTAGAAATTAATAAATGAAGCAACAATAGATAAATGATATTTCTCAATTGGTCATGTTTGGATTTAGAGATAAAGGTACAGATATAGACACACTAAGCAAGATGAATTTTCTTAGTATCAGAAATTTTTACTAATTTTGAAGAGTCATGTGTGCAAAAATATGATAAGACAGCATCATTTTAGGAGCGAGGATTGGGTTTACAGTAAAAGCTTGCAAATTGTATCGAAAGGTTGTATCTGAATGCTTTGGGAAAATGTATCTGCCAGATAAAAAGGTTCTAAATTAAAGATTGAAATCCAATTAATGATGTAAAATATTGTAAATTTTAAATTTAGTCATTCAATTAGCCATGAATAGAAACACCACTTTTCCGTTAAAAATAGACAAGCGGCCAAAAAACGATCAAACCTACGTTTTAAAGAGTAGGTTTCTGTAAAGTTCACCCAACTTTATCAAGTGGTTTAAAGTTTAAAGATTTGGTGCAACTGGTATAATAGCTAATAGTACAACATTCTGGAACTATAACTGATCATTAAAACGTTTTATTAAAAGACAAAAAGGTTATTTAGGCCTAACTTTTAATATCCAGGATGTTTTCTTTTAATAAAAATCCTTAATTTAAAATCACCTCTATATAATACCCAAACAATTGCGATATTTCCCTTTTAAACCTCNAGCAGCCAGTAACAAATTGCTGTCGCTCTTAAATACATTAATAGCCTCTAAACATGGCAAACAAAGATTTAAGTAAACTAAAAGTTCATTTTTAATTAGTTTTAATGAAGCTTTATTCCTGTCGTCCCGCTACTTTGCGTTCATAACAGAGAATACTTTTTCTGTAAATGCTGAAGTGGCCGGAACGGATAGCAAGTGACACTACTTTGAAAAGATTTGGGAAATTAGGTTGTTCCGTAAATATGGCTTGCCATTTTTCTGTGCAATATTATTGAATAATAATTTCGAATAATCGCTTACAAAATTACGATATTTACTTAAGTCCTTAAATAAAGTATTTTTGTGTACTTTATATGTCTTGTAAAGTATAACGTACGCACAGTCGAAATAGTCAATACTTTATAATAAAGTACGGGTGGCAACCCTAGATGTGTGTGACGGTAAAGAAAAAATTAGAAGTGTTTGAGATGTGGTGTTGGAGGTGAACATTGAAAGCATCGTGGACAGAATAGGTTAAAAAATAATTTGGCAGGAAAACATTTGAAGCATGCAGTTAAGGAAGCTATCCATTAGATTATTGTTCGCAAAAATTAAAGGATGTGGGATATTCTGATTTTCTGGTAATGCCCACGATAGGAAGAAGTGGAGGAACCAGTTTTTGGACTAACGATTTTGCTATGATGACCCCAATATAGTGTGCGAATATATGATTTATCTCAAGTTTACTAACGCAGGTTTTGCATTTCTACTGTAACTAATGCTTTGAAGCTAAGAACTAAAAATAATAATTGCAAAATAAAAAAAGTGACATGCACAATTCAATACTGAGAATAAAATAAAGCAATAGAAATGGAGCAGAAGTATCAGAATATCGAAATCTGTGGATAAAATAAAAGTAAAATCCTACTCTAAAAAAATGTACACGATATAATAACTTTTTAACGAAAGACAGACAGCGTTCAAATGAACACAATTTTATATCGTTTATAATTATTTATTATTCGTAATAATAAATTCGCAGTTTTTGCCATTTCATAATCATAACAGTAACAAAAACTTATCCTGTAAAAGAAAAAAATCACAGTAAATGGTAAAAACGAAATTGTGCATGAAAATGAAATATGTACCTCACCTTGTTGTCGGCATCGGCCAAAGGATTAGAGGTAATTGTAATTCGATTACCGGGAACAGCGCAACCATTCATTCGAGATAAACTTTTTGCACTTACAATGTAGTCGCTCGCATCTGCTTGGATGTGGTGACCTCCGTCCTCTTTATCAACAGTTCCAGCTTAAAAAAAAGAACATACTTCCTTGTTATTGTTGTTTCTTCGGACGATATTAAAAAAGCGTACAGTACTTAAAGAGTACGTAGCATGACTTAAGAGAACTCCGTGTTTAAATGCAATACAAAAGGTTCGTGCAATTTTGAGTCAGCTAATGACTAAAGCAATTAATTGGAATTCCTTCAGGTATATAAAACGTTGTGCAATTGAATTAATCTATACGGATACTTACAGTTGCTGGAACACTTAAATTCTTGGAATACTTTGTGTTTAATATTTTTAAAAAACGGAATTTGTTATGGTGTTAATATACACAAATGAAGTCGTTTTGAAATTGGTTGTTTCTTGTTTTCATTCGCGTATCAGTTCCTAATAAATTGCCAACTGCTAGAGGTAGTTTAGAATCTTATGGGCTGCACATTAGTAACAACATTCAAGGGCATTCAAAAAAATGAACAAATGTATAAATTAAATTGTAGATAACCTCGTAATATCTGTGCCTTCTGCATGTAGAATATTGTATTACATACATCAGAACTTTAGAGGTATTAGGTTACACAGAAAACAATTGTTTTTCTCTATTGTCTATAGGCATAAAAAAAATAAACAACAATTTACCATCAGAGTTGGCATCTTTCTTTTGTTTCCATTTTCGACAAATGATAAACAATACAATCACACTCAATAACAGTGCCAGACCGACAACTCCAGCAACGATGAATATATACATGGGTGTGGGTTCTGTGACTTCCACGGATTCCTTCGACGTTGTCCTAACAATCCCTTGGGTCGTTACTTCTAATTCTAGAATAAAATGTAGAAATTACCATTCATACGTGCCTATACATAATAATTTAGTTACACTTACTGGCTGTTTTCTGTTTCATAATAGGACTAAATTCGCTTGCAGATTTTGCGTTGAAGCTTTGCATTTTAATGTCGTACATTGTATCCCCTTTGAGATATGATATTATATATGTCCTTTTGTCGCCTCCGTCTACAGTTTCTTTCATGTAATCGCCTGCACTATCTGACGGTAAATAGTTTACGAAGAAACCATCTATAGTGACGTTGTTGTCCGGTGTATACTGAAATTTTAAATTATTTAGGTGTTTTTAATTCAATTTTCATTTTAAATTTTAATCAATTTTCAATACTTTTGTTCTGGGTGTTTTGAAAATTCCACAGATATTGTGGAGACTAAAAATTCAATTTTTTGTGCTGTTAAACTGTTAATTTGGAGATTCCTAAAAGTGCATTTTTGGAACTCGATTCTATATAGGTACAAAACCTGGACGATGTGTGTAGGGTGCAACCTTTCCAGGCTTTACATAAAGTATTTCTCGACTAAAAGGTTCAAAAAAAAAAAAAGTACTCAGCATAAAAATAAAGTATTTTATTTTTTGTTTTTGAAAACATATTTTTTGTTACACCTAGCAGCCAGTAACAAATTGCTCTTGCTCTTAAATGCATTAATAGCCTCTAAAAATGGCAAGCAAAGATTTAAGTAAACTAAAAGTTCATTTTTAATTAGTTTTAATGAAGCTTTATTCCTGTCGTCCCGCTACTTTGCGTTCATAACAGAGAATACTTTTTCTGTAAATGCTGAAGTGGCCGGAACGGATAGCAAGTGACACTACTTTGAAAAGATTTGGGAAATTAGGTTGTTCCGTAAATATGGCTTGCCATTTTTCTGTGCAATATTATTGAATAATAATTTCGAATAATCGCTTACAAAATTACGATATTTACTTAAGTCCTTAAATAAAGTATTTTTGTGTACTTTATATGTCTTGTAAAGTATAACGTACGCACAGTCGAAATAGTCAATACTTTATAATAAAGTACGGGTGGCAACCCTAGATGTGTGTGACGGTAAAGAAAAAATTAGAAGTGTTTGAGATGTGGTGTTGGAGGTGAACATTGAAAGCATCGTGGACAGAATAGGTTAAAAAATAATTTGGCAGGAAAACATTTGAAGCATGCAGTTAAGGAAGCTATCCATTAGATTATTGTTCGCAAAAATTAAAGGATGTGGGATATTCTGATTTTCTGGTAATGCCCACGATAGGAAGAAGTGGAGGAACCAGTTTTTGGACTAACGATTTTGCTATGATGACCCCAATATAATTATTGTAAAATCAACTTATTTTAAGAAAACTATGTATTAAAATATATCTAATACTTGCTTACCTCCCAATATATCCTTATTGAAGAAACATTCACAGCTTCGGTGTGTGTGAGCAAAGGAATAGGTAAAGGATTACGTACGAAGAAATCGCCCCTGGTCAGTGCGAACCGAGCTGAATTCGGTCCCATTTTATTGTCGCCATTACTATAAACGGCCGCTATTCTAAATTTATAAACATGTTCAGGTTTGAGATTGTTAATTTCGTAACTTCGTAAATGAGCGGCGATATCACCATTGCACGTTTTCCACCGTTTCACATGCGTATGGGTGTGACTACCGTTAACATCTATCGGACCTAGTTCTTTGTACTGCACTTTGAAAAAAGAAATGTTCAAACCGTCGTTTGCAGGAACGTTCCATCGAACCATCACGGATTCGTCATTCAGTCTTGAAACTGTCGGTTTAGACGGAGGGATCATTTCCAAGATGCCCTTTCGGCCTTTATTCTTTTTGCTTTTATGCTTCCGCTTCCGGTGCGGAGAAGCAGCAGGATGCGGCGGAAGAACGTCTTCGATTATATCGCTGCTCGAAATTTGTTTCGGAAAAACTTTAATGTTCGCACTACTATAGGTGATACCGACCGAATTTCCCGCGAAACACTGTAAAATACCGGCGTGTCTTTTTCCGACCGGACGGAAATAAATTTGATTTCCGACCGCTTCAACCGCACTGTCGTTCGAAACACTAGCACCGTTCAAAATCCACGTAATTTCGGGCTCCGGCGTGCCCTTTGCAACGCACTGTAAATCCATATTTTCGCCCTCTTTGCTGTCCGTGTTGCGAGGACCGTCTATTATCGAAGGAAGCTCGCTGTAAACCACGGTAATGTGGTGCGATAGCGTTCCCAACGCATTCGTGTGATTACAAAAGTAAAGTCCGTCATCAAACGAAGAAATATTTTTTATTAAGAGGCCACCCTGTAGTATTTGTATCTTATGATTTGGCAGTCCACCACTGCTTTTCGACCAGAATACCTTCGGCACTGGGTTGCCATACGCTGAACACTCAATGAAAATTGTGTCACCTAAACATAAAAATCTGGTTAATAATAAGTCATCATTAAGTTCCCGAAACTGCTGTTCGCGATCGTCTTTTTTTAATATTTTTGCAATATTTGCTTTCTACAAACGATAAATACGAAAACACATAGAAAATATACATACAATTTAGACATCTTTTTAGAAGTGAGTTAGTTTAATATGAAATATTCTGAAAATTCGAAAAAGGTTGTTTGGAGCACGGCGTTTTACGGGTGCGAAACATGGACAGTGGGAGCGGCGGAAAAGAAAAGGTTAGAAGCGTTCGAAATGTGGTGTTATAGGCGGATGATGAGGATATCGTGGGTAGAAAAGGTTAGAAATGAAGAGGTATTGGAAAGAATAGGAGAACAGAGGACTCTATGGAAGTCAATAAAAAATAGGCGAGATAGGTTGGTAGGACACCTTCTCAGGCATGAAGGTCTAGTCAGAGACATATTAGAGGCAGAAACAGGAGTTAGGAGGGGTAGAGGTAGGCCTAGATTAGATTACTCTTCGCAAATAGTTAAGGATGTGGGCTGTTCTAGTTTTAGGGAAATGCGAAGTTTAGCTCAGGATAGGAAAGAGTGGAGGTACGTGTCCAACCAGTCTTAAGACTGATGACCTTATGATGATGCGGCCTTTCTCGTGGGAAATAGTTTAATGTAAATTAAAAATCGTTTTAACACAAATATTTACCTGCATTAGCGACATAGACTTTTTTCGGTATCGTAATAAATCTTGGCGCCTGGCGGGGTCCTTGGCTAACTACTTTCAGGCTCAGGTGAAAATTAGACATTATCCTGGCCTGCTGAATGTTGTTGTATGCTAAGCATTTATAAATTCCAGAATCGCCCATTCCAACGTTCGGTAGTATGAGAGATTTAGTACGTGCGGTAAATATTTTCGGAGATAGATACGATCCATCCTTGTAATAATCTATAACCGCAGGTGGATTAAATTCGGGCGGATCACATTTCCACGAAATCGTGTTTCCAACGATTACAGTGACCGAAGTGTTTTCTTGAGGGGGAAAGTCCCCCAGGGAGGTGATAGTAATACGTCCTGGAATGGACGCCACTACCGAAGCACCATAATGTGCTAAACATTGATAGCCACCAGCTACCAACGTCGTATTCGACTGTGAATCAAAATCCACAATAAATATAGTATGAAAAAAATTAAATTTCGTAGTAAAAACGTAGTGAAGCTACTGCCCTTAACATAATAAAATGTAGCAAGACTTCAAGATTGCTTCCCCGTACCATAGCTGAAATTATGATTTTAATTCTATTTTCCGAAAAACGACTCTATTTTACAAACAAATCGAACTTACGTAGACCTACAGTTAGTTATATATTATTATGTTGGTTGAAATTTTGTGAAGCAGTTTTTTAAATAATAATTTACTGAATTATAAAAATACAAAATTTTAAAATAGAGCCATTAGCTTCAAACATCGGCTTTATTTTTAAACTTTATTGCCTTTTTAATTACAACAGGATCCCTATTAAGATAAGTCAAAAGGCTTACTTTGATTTTCAAAGTGGACGTCTTCTTCTCGTTAGTAAACATTTCCTGCGGTAGATTGATATACGGGGAAGTGCTCAAAGATATATGAGCACGTGGATTAGAAACGTCCACGGAGTTGAAAGGATAATGCCTCCATTCGAACCGATCTGGCTGCAGGTTCATCTCGCAAATTAGACTCGTTTCGTCGTTTATCGGCATTACCACGGATTCTGGACTGGTCACCATATACACTCTTCCCCGATCTATAATAATTAATTTGATAAAAAATTATCTACTTAAGATTTATTTGTTTGCCGCAAAATCTCATTATTACAACCAAAATTGGAAATGTACGTTTTCTACGGACTATTGACGTGTGTAAATGACCAAACCTAGGACTTCATAACTATTATTACATGACCAAAGCGTTCTCTTCGAACTTTAGAAAGGTGGAGTTAAAGAAACGGACAGATAGATATACGAGTAATTCTATAAGGGTTCCGTTTTTTCATTTGGACGTACAGAACCCTAATCCAAAAACTAACTTAGCATTGTAGTTGAAACAAAACATGTTCTCCCGTACAGAACTATTTTCTGTATTTTTTTGCTGATTTTTAAATTATATTTTCTTTAGAAAATATTTGATGATATAACCAAATCAAGCAGTCAATTTTTGAATAACTTAATTTTTAAGTTAAGTAATTTGCAAAAAATGTCGACCTACTTGATTTGAATCATTAATTACAATTGCCAATAGGGTATCAACTGTGAGACTTCATATTAATATAAATTTTTTTGATAGTCTTGGGATCCCATATATATAGAAAGGTTACCGAAGACCCTCTGCCCACATACATACGTGTCAGTAAAGCATACGCATGTAGGTATTTTTCATTATTTTATTTTCAATAAATTCTTCTATTTTCCCAATTAAGTAAATTGGAGAAAAACATAATGGATCAAATTTTAAATCAGATTTTATAATCGTTTTTTAAATTACTTTTTATAATGAATGCGTCACGTCGGGGGTTATGGGCCTATGGGCGGTTTAACTTTATTAAGATTTAATTTAGTGCAATCTGTATAATTATACTTTTTTGCCTGTCTGTAAAATTAATGAATCAGTAGGAGGATATTCCAATACGAAAGGACAATTAGGTCCATGCATGCTGTAAGGCACTTAGCCATTAACTAATACATTTAAGTAAGAAATAATCTACTGGCTCTATTTTCGTTTTACTTTTCCTAATAAATATTTTAAATGCGATGTTTATAAACTACTAGCTTCATGGAGAAAATGAAAAAGGAAAATTTACCTAAAAATTAAAGCGATATTTACAATTTATCCCACTAGCGACTAGCCCATTGCTTCGTAAACGAAAATAATACAAATTACAATTTGGACTCGAATTTGTAAAAATAAAATCCCAGCAGAAATAAATCTACTAGATATTTTAGTTGATATTACAAATTAAATTGTAATAATTATGAAACTTAAAATAATTAAAAAAAAACGTCAAAATTGAGATTATTGTAAGTTACCTAATAAATTCTACTACTTCTACGGTAAATTCAGTCATTTACATTCGAAAATTATTTAATAATTTTTGCATTGTCATAAAAATTTAGTTTTCTTCGGCTTCATTCGTATTGATGTCCTAAATACGTGTCAAGTACACCGACGACCACATAAAATTAATTTCATTATCCATGGGGATCAGTATGTTTTTTCTGGATAAAAGGTACCCTATGTCCTTTTCTCTGCCCCTGACAATGTGAGTACAAAATTTCATGAAGATCGGTTGAGTGGTTAAGGCGTGAAATTGTTACAAACAAATAATCACACTCACATTCGCATTTATAATATTAGTTAGGAAGTTACACAATGTATTTGTTTTTTTGGGATTCTAAATTCAGCTATGATTATAGAAATCTAATAAAATCTTACCTGAGAGTCCACAATCCAGCATCGTCGTGAATATCACAAGCAACTTCAAAATATAACAGCGCATGTTGCCGCATCCCTGCAAAAAATAAGACTACCATTAATTTCGTGCCTATATAGGCGCACTTTATTAAAGCGCACGTGTAAAGTAGGATAAAGAAGAGCACTTGATGCTTTTATTCTCAGCGTATATCAAAAAAAGTGAAGAGCTTTGCTATAATAAGGAACCACCTCAACATAGGGTACTTGAAGTAACCACACATGTCGAGGAAATTAATCGACTCCTGTACTGAAAAATAGTCGTTAAGGAAAATTTATTATTATCTTCCCTTAACGATTATTCAATCCATTGTGATAGGTGAATCAGAGAACCCCTGAAAAGCTTTACTTAACTTCTGACGTTTGTGTTACCAATCAGTGAAAGGACATCCCTAGTTCCTTAAGGAAAACGCTCCTCTATCAAACTCTTTTGAGTTTTCGGACGTGCAGATCTCAAGTCTCAAAAGTCTCAATTGGCGCTAAGTAGTAAAAAGTCAACTTTTTGATATACTGCTTCTTACAGTTGGGCTTCCAAGGTATAATTATACCTATTATCCGTACTGAATTCCTTCAGGTACCTATATATATGTTACCGGAAATGTATGAAATCTAGGAATTGTATAAAATATTGTTTCAAAGATTTTTTAATACACACATTTCCTAGGAATTGTATGAAATTCCGATATTATACTAAGAAATGTATAAAACTAATGCTTTCTGTGAATTACTACCTTGGTTGTAGCGACCATTCTGCTATAGCGACGTTCAATCTAAGTCCCTTTAATTTAAAGAAATTTCATGTGGCTAAAGCAACTTCGGATGTAACGCCGATGTAAGTTCGGGTGTAGCGATCGTTTTTAATGAATCATTTGTAAGAAATTCCTAGAAATATCATGCAGATATAGCGACCCAAATCGGCCGCCAAGGACACAAAGAGCTTTCTTATCTTTTGTTTACATCCACACAGAGGATCAGCAACTGTTGTGAGCTTTACAGTTTGTTAATAGATGTTCAGTTACAAAGTAATATTCTGAGTAGCAAATGTTAAATTACAGGCGGAAATCACTTCAAAATTAAAAAATGATGAAAACTATACATGTGTGTCTGTATCTCCTTACTTTTGTCTGTAACGACTTCGGATATAAGGACAATATTACAGTGGTCGCTTTAGCGTCGTTATACCCGAAATCCACTGTATTATATAGATATTATGGATGTGTCAAGGTTTAGGAACCAGGGATGGTTACGTCCTTACGAGAAAAGGTCGGACTTTCAAAATCATTAGGAAACGAACATTTCGACGCATCATATTATCAACGTTAAAGAAAAGTAAATAAAATCGACGCAATTTAACTGGGAAATATTTTGGTAATAATGTATGCTTAATTTAGTTTTGATAGTATCTTTGACATAATATTTTATAGTGCACCTTGAAAGCAACATGTTGTGACAAACACGCGGTTGTGGAAATATAAAGACGCTTTAATTGGTTTCAAAAGTGGAATCCAAAAACATTAAAAAACTCTCATCATCAGATAATACTGAAATCAAAAAGAATTTTTGTGTAATTTTACCATTTTTTTGTTTCTTTATTTATTGTTATTGCTTAATTTTAATGCGTTATGATATTTAAATTAATTGTCGTTGATTATTTATTACACATATCAACAAATATTTCAAATAAATTCACGTAAATTATAAATTTTAAAGTATTGTATGTTTAATTTGGATGTAAATTTTTTTTATTTAAAATTTTATTTTTGATGCGGATATTATATTAACAAGCACCACTAAAGAAGCTCCTGGAAATGTAAACAAGTCAGCAGCAGTGACATTGATTTCCATCGGATTAAATTTACAATAAAACTGTCAAAGACCAAATTGAAATAAATTAGTTGCTTTATAAAGGCCCGTCAATTAACAACTAAAATACTTTGTTGATTTTATAGCGGGGCAGTTATATGCGGCTCGGCGTTGCTATACAACAAAATACCCAAATGAGATAAGATGCCAAGATAAATTGCTTCTTTACCTGGCATTCTAACTAATTTAAATTACATGAGCAGTCCATTGGTCTTTAGCATGGTTAAACTCTTGAATATCTAACCGAATAATATAAAGACAATTTCCTGCATGTGATTGCGGTATGTCCATAAGAGCTGCAAAGCTACAGAACACGTAATGTATGAAAATATATAAAAGTAAAACACAAATACTGGTATGCAAGGGAAGGAAAAGTAGGGAAAGAGCGAATATAAAGATAGGAAGTGAAAAATTAGAAGAAGTGGTCGATTTTAGGTATCTAGGAAGTCAGATAAGTCAGGACGGAAGGAGTAGTAGGGATATAAAGCAGAGGATAGTGCAGGGTCGAGTTGCCTTCAATAAAAAGAAGTCACTTCTATGCTCGCGAACGGTTAATTAAGAAATTCGGAAAAGTTTGTTAAAGGTGTATGTTTGGAGCACGGCGCTGTACGGGTGCAAAACATGGACGGTGGGTGCGGCTGAAAAGAAAAGGTTAGAAGCGTTCAAAGTGTGGTGATACAGGCAAATGATGAAGATACCGTGAATCCAAAGATTCAAAGAGTTTGTCAGAAGGCTATTTTCTGTAGCGGGGTCCTTTCTAGTTTAACTTAATTTTTTCGTGTCGCATATCTTTGACTAACTCGTTCGACATTAACGATTTATTTAATAAATAATAATATGCGATGTGCATTGTTAAAAGTAGAGAATAAATCACTACGGATGTCGAGTTGTATTTCAGCATTGCAATTCAATCAGGATTGCAACAGTGGCCGTCGTTAAAGGAAATCCTACATACGGCATATGTGCACAGCATTCTCGATATTTGAGTCTCATAAATAAATAATAAGATGCAATTGCAAATGCTTACACGGGTAATATTCCTAAACGGGTTTATCATTACAGGTGCAGTTAATTGTTTCCTGATTAGGGATGACAGTTAATAACTGATGGCGATGTTAGAATATTTAATTAATTTAATAATAACTAATAACTAGCGCCACAAAACACTTTTCGATTATCACGGGTTTTACTCCTTTCGGTAAGAAACTCCCGGTCATATCCTACGGGAATTGTTATGATTAAGCCAGTTTTTTGGCAGCTACGTCCTTACTTGGTGGCTGAAGTTATTGATGAAATTAGTAGAGAAGTAGAAGATTATTCGTGGAAAATTAACACCACACCATTTACATAAGCGATTTAACCTTCCGGCCTGCCAATCGGTTCGAATTCGGTATCAACCTTGAGTTCGTTTTGTCTCTATTCCTTTGATGTTTACTAAACTATTTTTCACAGCAGTTAAAATGTCCTTTAAACAAATCTAGAGTTTTTCAAATTATAAACAAAAGCTGTCTCCAGTCTTCACAAAAGTCAAAAATCTCATCACCTTTGATGATGATTACGTTGTCATTGCTAACAATCATTTGACTGGTTTACAAGCTAGTTGGATAGTACATGCACTAACCAAATATGATGGAAAATTGGCAAAATTTATTTACAATCATTTTATTTACAGATTGTTTGTATGGGTACTAATAATATGAAGAAGTACACATAATAACCGACACATTTGTTCATACATTACTGTAGTGTTACTGTAATGTATGAAATATAGGAAATGTATACAATTCCGAAGCTATTTAGAAAGTCTACAAAATATTGTTTCAAAGATTTTTTAATACACACATATTCTGGGAAATGTATACATTTCCTAGGAATTGTATGAAATTCGGATATTGTACTAGGAAATGTATAATACTAATGCTTTCTGTGAATAAAAAGAATAACATCCCCCTCTCTCCGCTACCCATTGACATGTTGAATGTAATGAACTTTCGATTGCCATTTAGGAAATGTATAGATTTCCTAGGAAATGTGTCTAGTATAATTTATTTCACACATTTCCGGGTAATTTAAGAATTATGTACATTTCCTAGGAATTGTATACAATGACGGATTACACACATATCTGTTATATATTTGCATTATTAAACTAGCGAAAAGCGTGTGCATTTTTATGGCTTGACGTTTCTACCAATTTAATTCTGTATGTACAATCCAAAATTGGCAATTTCTTAGTTAGAAAAACGATTTCCCATTTTTGGTTAGCGTTTACAGTATCCAGCTGGTTTATAACTAATCATAGTCGAATTATATGTAACTAATTTCCGGTTATAACGAACCCGGATGTTTTAATAACTAATAAGATGATTCGTTTTTGGCGCCATCTATTTTTCATCGTTTCGATTGAAAATTAAGAGTCCAATCTAAGTAACCGTGACTGTCCTACACTGTTGGCCTTCGTATTTGTAGCCGATTTGTCTCGGATGCTCGTAGATCAGGAGCGGAACAAAAACGTTGCCGTTGAGATTTTGGTGTGTACGTATAGTGCTTGGAAGTGGCAAAAGAAAATTAATTTTGATGGTGCGTTTTTAAGAGCATCATTTTTTATGATAATACGCTTAACAGAAAAGGAGCTAGAATCACCTTTGTCTTCAAATTAACCGTTCGTTCGGTCATTATTCATCTTTTCAAATAGACGTCTTTTTTTGTTGCTATCCCAGCACGTTCGATAAATAAAGATGAACAACTGAGCCATGGGAAGACTCCGAAAAAGAACAACCAACGAAGGAATTCTCTAGTTAGGACCGGACTCGGTTCGAATGAAATACATTATTGTTGCCATTAGGTACTTAATCAGTTATTTTAAACTCACAATAGCATTTACTATAAGTGCGTATATAATAAATTGGTTACACAAGACCATGAAAAACTAAAGTGTCTTTTATATTTATACATTTCTGAAACATCTACTACAATTATTGATCATAATCGTCGAAAAGTAGTCAATCTGAATACAACCTTTCTTCCGATCTTCAGCTGGTCTTCGCATTCCAATATCCTTGCCTATTTTCGAAAAATAATTCAATCTCTAGCTAGTCGTTTGTGTCCCAAAAGAAGATCCTGTCTCTCCTTTTTCTTATTGACTTGTATAGAACCATTTATTCTTATACTTTCTTA